GAGCGGACAGCTTGTACGGGGCCGCGGCGCCGGTCAGCAGTGCACGCTGGGTATGCAAATGACAGCAATGCTAACGAATCACATGCTAATGAGGCAGCGCGTCGCCGAGGGCAGCCGCAGCACCGTGCGGAATCATCTGCCAGTCCGGTCCCGCAGCCACACGGGCCGAGGCGTCCCATCCCCTGCCCAGGCTTCCCATCCCCACATCCCCACCACACCTTCCCAGGCCTGCAGACGGCCAACCCCTGCCACAGCCTCCCCCAGCACCCTCAGCCCCTGCCCAGGGCAGCTGGATGGGTCCTACCTTCATACTGGACCTGCAGGTGCGTAGAGCGCAGCATGTCCAGCACTGGCTCCACCACGGCTGTGGGCGCCTCTCCCACCATGTCCTGGGGGGAAAAGGGCAGTGACAGGGACAGTCTTCACACTCCAGGCTGCCCTTTTCCAGCCCTGATGTTAAGGAGGCCGTGCCAGCTTCCTGCCAGGGAAATGCTGCCTTTGGCCATGACCTACCTGCATGACCCGCAGTGTCTGCAGAGCCAGCTGCTGGGCTCGGGGGGAGGCGCATGACAGCACAGCAATGAGGCCTTTGTAGACTTGGTTCTGGTACTTGGGATTGCTGTGGCCCAAAGACTCCAGCAGAATCTGCGTGTCATCTTGAGCCTCTGCTGAGTTGGAAGTGGCCAAGAACTTGGCAAGTGATTGCACCCCTGTGCAGAGAAAGAGACACCAACTTGTGCGCCTGCATGAGCCTGGATCACCCACCTCAGCTGTTCCACTGCCACCCCAGAGGAAGCCCAGCACCACATCCCACTTGAAGTGTGGCTTGAAGAACAGAAGCCAGGTTCTTTGTTTGGAAAACCAGTTGGCAAAATTCTAACGAGTATTTTGCCAAGGCCCTTCTGCAGGCATTTACACAAGCAGAGTCTGGCACTGCTAAGCATCCCTCTGATGATCCTGCCACTTTGTCTTTCTGTGATGGCAAGTATCACCTCATGGCCTCTGACAGTGGAATCTGAGCTACAGAATGGCTAATGGGGTTTAGCTTCTGCTTCCCAGGAAAAAAAAAAACAAAACAAAAACCAGGAAGAAAGCTGTTGTAATGCTCTTTCAAAATCATAGAATCATAGAATCAACTCGGTTGGAAAAGACCTTTAGGATTATCAAGTCCAACCTTTACCCCAGGACTGCCAAGTCCACCACTAAACCATGTTACTTAGGGCCTCATCTACATGGCTTGTAAACACTTCCGGGGTGGTGATTCCACCACTGCCCTGGGCAGCCTTTTCCAGTGCATGACCACCCTTTTGATGAAGAAATTGTTCCTAATATCCAGCCTAAATCTCCCCTGGCACAGCTTGAGGCTGTTACTTCTTGTTCCATCACTGGTTACTTGGGAGAAGAGACCAGCCACCTCCTCTTTCCACCCTCTTTTCAGGTAGTTGTAGGGAGCAATAAGGTTCCTCCTGAATCTTCTCTTCTCCAAACTAAACAAACCCAGTTCCCTCAGTTGTTCCTCATCAAACTTGTGCTCCAGATCCTTCACCAGCTTTGCTGCCCTTCTCTGGACCTGCTCCAGCACCTCAGTATCTCTCTAGTAGCGAAAGGCCCAGAACTGAACACAATGTTTGAGGTGCAGCCTCACCAGTGCTGAGTACAGGGGGATGATCACTGCCCTGGCCCTGATGGCCACAATATTGCTGATACAGGCCAGGATGCTGTTGGCCGCCTGGGCTGCCTGCGCACAAGCTGGCTCATGTTCAGCCAGCCAAGGTACAAACTGCAAAACCCTCCCACCCCAAGAGGGGAAGTCTGGGAAAGTCCGCAGTAAGTGAACGCTGCAGGTAAGAAGGGAAACTGTTTTGTGGTTTTAACTGGAGCAGTTGCAACCAGGAGCACAGCACTACCGCATCAAAAGAAATGAGTGTGAAGAAAGCGAGTACAAACTGAGAGGGGACGAAATGCAACTGATCAACAACAGCTGAAACTCTGCACTCCTTCCAGCAGAACCCAGGGGAGAGGGAGTGGCTCAGCATCTCCAGCAGCCCCAGGGGCTAGAGGTCAAGGGAGAACATCCTTGTCTGAATTAGGAACAAGCACATATGGACACACTGCTTACCATAGCTTTCACAGATGAGCTCCTTATACTTCCTGCCAGCATCTGCGATGAGCTGCAGCAGCTTTACAGACTCCCTCTTGTCCTCTTCTTTCTGGTGGTTCAGTCCTAGTATTTCCAGGAGAATCAAGACACCTCCAATCTCCAGGAATTCGATAAGGTATCTGTGTCTGCAAGCATAGGGGGAACAAAGCCAAAAGCATCACCTGCTTCCACTGTGCTCCCAGGAACCATCACCTCCTGCTTCAGAGTGCAGGTACCCGGGCAGGGAACACGGGGAGGCTCAGCCTGGAGCGCAGAGGCAGATGCCTGCCAGCAGGATGATTTGCGGCCAGCAGGTCACCAGCTCCCATTTTAGCCTGTGCTCATTTCAGAACCACAGGCACAAAAGGCCCCATTTCTGCACTCAGACTCTCACCACACTCCTTCCACGTTGTGTCGGTGACCTGGTGGCTCTGGAGATGCGGATAAGCAGTGGATTTGGTTTTGAGAGTATTTGAAATTCCTACCAGAAGCCTCACTGGGGCCTGCCTTGCCTGAAGTTCTTACACAGCTCTCACAAAACGTGTCCAACGACTTATTATGTTACTTGCTCACCCTTGTGTGCCTTCCCCATGCACCTCTCACACAGTGACATTCCATTCTCACCCGCTTGCAGCTGATAGGAAGATGCCAATGGACTTGAGCAGCTTGCTGAGGCATGTGCTGTATGTGTAGCTGTTTGACAGGGTTAAGGAGAGATCTACAGACCGCTGTGGTGTTCCACAGGCTGCCTTTGGCAATGTGGAGGTCTGAACTGGCTACTTTCTCATGCAAGAGAGTATGGACCTTTCCCTCACAGGCAGCACGCTCATCCCAATATGAGAAAACCCACTAATTCTAGGTCCCTGAGAAACAGGTTACGTGGCTCTCCCTTCAATTCCATCTTTAGATAGACAGGGATTTTTTAACCCTGGAGAACACGGCTGGATGTCTCCATACAGAAGCTTACTCTTTAAACAATTTTTTAGTGAACTTTCCCCTCCTCTCCATCCCACTGCCACCTCCAAGGAAGCAGATACGTCATCCTGAGCCATGCTGCTAGGCGAGCCAGAAACAAGCTGGCTCCCTGGGAGAACTCCAGCTCCAGTTCTGGTTCTGTCTTGCTGTAATTGCTTTTAATGAAGTTGTCCAGGATGTGGCTTCGTGCAACTTTGTGGGCACTATCCCATTCCTGCAAGAAAACCATGAGCCTCCTGATGGCTTCCTGCTCTTTGACAGAAGTCATGATCTCTTCTGCCTAGAGAAAAGTCAGAAAGAAGTTAAAAAAGGGCTTAGAAGATAGAAGAAGTCTGCACTAAGGAGTTTCTACCAAAATCAGATTTAAAATCTCTGGCAAATAATAAAGAATCATTTAGGTTTAAAGCACTTAGTAGCCATTAGTTTAATCTCATTTTCCTTTATACTCATTTCATAGATAGGAAAACTGAGGCAAAAGGAAAGTTCCTGGTATCTCTGAAGCTGCACAATGAATTTGCAACAGACCTGAGATTGCTTTCCAGGGGAGGTGGCTTCACCACAGGAGCTCTCTTCTCTGCTCTGTTAATAAAGTAATTTTGATGTTAGCCATTACCCCAGCCTTAGTTTCTCACTAGCCTCATGATATGAAAACTGCATCTCATATCTGACCTGCCAGAGAATAACTAGGGTGAAATGAGAGCACAAATAGGTATGGATTTATGGGGAGTGACAGGGTCAAGGGGGCTGTAAATGCCTGTTAGCACAGCAGCGCAGAGTGCCATCACTTGTGTGATGCAGCGACAGCCATTTGGACTGGGTCCACATTCACACCAGGAAGATGTGCTTGGCCTTGTCAGCAGGAGAGCACTTTGGGACCCTTTGGCATGGCAGACATTTGCTCTGTTTATTTCTTAGCTAATTGCTATGGCATGTTTTTAAACAATCTAAGAAAATCTAAAATTATAAGAACTACAGACAAGAAGACAAAGTCCAGAACACCCCTTGCCTGCACTTCCTTCCATCCCTTCATACAGGTGTTAAATAAAACAATTCATATTTTGCCCAAATTCTTCGGCACACTTTTGGCTTAGTATGATATCCAGCTTGACAATCGTGAAGGTACACTTTGTAGGGGGATGCAACATCAGAGGATTAAGTTCTCTATTCAGGGAGGGGAGAATTCCACAAATGTGGAAGCACAAGATCCACTAATGTGTATGTGCTTGGCTTCAAGAGACTGACCAGTCTCAAGAAGCATGGTAGTTAAACACCAGTGTCTGGGTACACGAACAGATGCAGAAAGAGGGCTGAGGTCACAGACACATAAACACAGGTATGTTGTCCTCCATCAAGCTCTAGCAACATGCTTGAGGATGAGAAAGGAATTCACACTCTATCTAATGCAGGTCTTGGACTTCCTAGATAAGAAAAGCACCATTTTAGGTTCTATGTAAAGTGTGGTTTAAGAGAAAATAAAAAGTTAAAATGACATAAAATCTTCAGGTTTCAGAATAAGAAGTTTCTTTCAATGTAATACAAGTTACCAGCATTACCAATTTCCTATCCACAAAGTTCTTAAGCCTTTTTTTCTTTTTTTTCCCCCCAGAATCTGGAGCAAAATTCCAAATCAGTTCCAGAATATCCCCAAGATACCTACTCAAAAGTAACTTTCTATTGCTATTATCTCAACCAGACTGAAAGCAATGACCAAGAGGTGAACATGTACCTCAGTGCATGAAAACAAACAAACGAAGTCTTCAAAAAGCTGTCTAAGAAACAATGTTTGAGAACTAAGATGAGATGAAATTTCATTTGGGAATTAACGGTCTGTGCTCTGTAAGGAGCCTGTGTCCTTGGCAGGGCATTTTCAGGATCTCCTTTGCAGGGAAGCAGGTTTAAAATAAATCCATTTTCCCAAAATAGTTGTGATTGAAAATGTTATTAGCCATAACAAATGTTAGTGCTGACAGGAGAATGGCCTGTTAGGGGCCTCTGTTGAAACAGTCAACTGAATGTCATATTTCACATTACTGCAAGCATTTTCCTGTGATTTACCGAATATTTGTGAAACATTACTTGCAAGGCATATGATTGATATTGAGAGAACAGCTAGTGTGTAGAGGGAACCTGTATTTCACAGAGACTGTTTGCATGAAATTTACAGTCCCATAAAGTGCTCCTCTGTCCTCAACAGAGATCTAGTTAAAAGAACTTTACAGTCTGAAACATCCCAAAATTGATTCTAAATTAACATTTCCATATTTATGTTTTAGATGCTGGTGGTGTAATGCTATCCTATTTTTATTATAAAGCTGCAGGAAGCCCTCCACTATTCAGAAATACCAGCACTAGCCTCTAGACGTGAGGATTTTAGTGATACATAGAGCTTGCCTATGAATCAATGACAAGAAAAAGAGAGAAGAGTTGGAAACAATGCTAACATGAGGCTTCTGAGGATACAGTGGTATCAGTCCCTGGTTGCTGTAATAACAGCATCTGCTGACAGAGTAGTCTTTAAGCTGACATTACAAAGTACCCTGAAAATGTACATGAATATTTTTATGATGACTATTTTACATATGGAACATACAGACACAGGGAAGTTAAATGACTTGCCTGAGTCGTTTATCACTGCTAGCATCAGCATGTAACTGGCTTCAAACTCTGCTCTCAACAGTGCTGGGCTGGCACCCCAGTCCACTGGGCCTAATAAGTAAAACAAGGCTGGGTCAGGGCAGAGCTTTATCGCTGCCAAGAGAAGGACAAGTGATTTAGCAACTGGTTCTGGCAATTCAGCAGTTCTTTACATCCAGAGTGCTGCTAAATCATCAGATTGAGATCAAAAGGCAGAGTGGTGTTGCGTCAGCCTCAGTCTGAGTGTGAGGTGCCAGGGACTGACAGCCTTGAACTCAGGGAAGGACAGAGTGACGGTGATTTGGCACTGCCTTTGCATCTTGCAACACTAAGATTGTGCCTATCCTCAAGCAAAACTTGTATTTCCATAGCAGGTTTCACCCTCTCCTGGCATACCTCAAGTCCCCCACAACCCTCCTCACACACAACACCCCTTCCTCAGTATACCCCAATGCTTTCCACCGAACCCCTATCAACCACAGTCCCACTGGCCCCTCTCTCACCTGCACATCCTGCCTCCCAGTCCCACTGTTAACCCCAGCCATCACCCCAAACCAACCCCTGCACTGACCCCTACATCCATCCCAGCGCCTACCTGCCCTCATCCACCGCAGCCTCAACACTCCCCACCCCAGGCCTGCTCCAACCCAACTGCACCCCAAAACCCCCCTCAGGCCCTTACAGTGCCTCAAACACTCC